TAGGGTAAGCACAGGACTGGCAACCACAAGGTCAGTAGTTAAAACCCATCAGCCACTCTTAGAAGCCCTATATAGGGTGGCTGAGTGGACACTGACTTGACAATACACACAACAACAATATAGCTTTGGATTAATTGATGCTGCAAGAATGGCTTCAAACAGAAGAACAATTTTGAAGACAGCACAGGAATAGATAGTGTTGCATCTGTTGTACATTGACAGGGTTGCTAAGAGCCCAACACTTAACCCACTGCACCAGGAGGAATCCTTGTTGTTGGCAGGTGCCGTCAAGTCAGTTTGACTCATAGTGATACAACATTCTCTTGTAGAATGAAACACCTCCCAATCCTGTACCATTCTCACAGAGCCCACTGTTGCTGCCACTGTGTCAATCCATCTCATTGGGGGGGTCTTCCTCTTTTCCACTAACCCTCCACTTTACTAGGCATGATACCCGTCTTCAGGGACTGGAGTTGTTGTTAAGTTCTGTTGAGTCGGTTCTGACTCATAGCAACCCTGTATAGTGTTTCCGAGGAGCAGTTGGTGAGCTTGAACCGCTACCCTTGTGATTCAAACCCACTTTGCAGTCCAGCGCATCAACCCTCAGCGCCACACCAGGGCTCCTGATATCAGGTCCCTCCTGATCATATGTTCAAAGCATAAGAAACGAAGTCTTACCATCTTCATTCTAAGGAGCCTTCTGCCTGTGTTCTTCCAACATAGATTTGTTTGATGTTCTGGCAGTCTGTGGTGTTTTCAATATTCTTCACCAACACCATAATTCAAATGCATCAATTTTTTTCTATGATATTCCAAATTCACCGTCCAACTTTTACATGCATATGGGGCGACTAAAAATACCATGGCTTGTGTCACGGCACCTCAGTCCTCAAAGTGACAACTTTGCTCTTGAACACTTTAAAGAGCTCTTTTGCAGAAGATTTGATTTGATTTCTTGATTGCTGCTTCTATGAGTGCTCATTGTGGATCTGAGCAAATTGAAGTTTGACAGCTTCAACCTTCTCTCCATTTATCATGTTATTTATTGGCCCAGAGGCGAGAACTCAGTGTCCTTGTTGTTAAATGCTGTTGGAGTCAATTCCAACTCAGGGATCCTATATAGTGTTTGCAAGGAGTGGCTGATGGGTTTGAAGCACCAACCTTATGGTTAGCAGTCCAGTGCATATCCTACAGTGCCACACCTGGACTCCTTAGAATGACTAAAACCTCAAACACCCACTGCCACTGAGTTGATTCCGAGGCTGTAAATCTTTATGGTAGCAGACAGCCATTGGAACAGCTGGTAAATTCCAACTGCTGACCTTGTGGTTCACAGCCAATGAGTAACCCACTGCTCCCCCAGGGCTCCTAGAGTGACGGAAGTGCCTTGATTTGCTCATATGGGGTGTCTGCGCACTTGAGCTGTTGTGAATCTGAACGGTGAGGTCTGTGAGTATAAATGCACACCTGGTTCCAAAGATTCCGTATGAAATGAGAGAATACCAAATAGTTTGGACATTTTGGATTAAACCAAAAAGGTATTTAAAATGTATCCATCTGTTTGTGTTGGGGACTGCGATCACTGAGGTGTTGGGGCCCTGTGTCATGGACGAAAATCCTACACGATGACTCCACTCAGGCTTGCTAGCCAGGGACCCTGAGGGCCCAAGGAAGTAACCTCTGGACATCCCGAGTTCGTTGGCTTTTACAAACTCACTGTTGGGCTAGCTCTGTATCATTTTCTTTGGTCCTATTATTCATTCTATGCTTCGAACTCCAGTAATTGTAGCTTCTGAGAAAATGGTTTCTTATGTGCCTCTATTAATGTCTCCACTGTATTGGCAGTGCTTCAGGTTCTAGGAACAAATCTCTCTGAGGAACAAACTCTGGTCACCTGGCAAGCATGGCAAAACTGTTCTTTATCAAGTTATTCAGTTATGTTTGGTATTTACTTAATACATGAGCTCTTA